TTTTTTTTTTGTAATTGAGATGGAGTCCTACTCTGTCGCCCAGGTTAGAGTGCAGTGGCTTGATCTTGGCTAACTGCGACCTCCACTTCCTGGGTTCAAGTGATCCTCTTGCCTCAGCCTCTCAAGTAGCTGAGACTAAAAGCATATGCCACCACACCCAGCTAATTTTTTGTATTTTTAGCAGAGACAGGATTGCACCATGTTGGTCAGGCTGGTCTTGAACTCCTGACCTCAAGTGATCTGCCTGCCTCGGCCTCCCAAAGTGCTGAGATTATAAGCGTGAGCCACTATACTTGGCCTAATTTTTTTTTTTAGGTCTCACTCTGTTGCCCAGGCTGGAGTGCAATGACACAAGAACTCCTGGGCTTAAATGATCCTCCCACCTCAGCCACCCCCAAGTAGCTGGAACTACAGGCACTGGCTAGTTTTTAAAATTTTTTGTAGAGGGGGTGTCTCACTTTATTGCCCAGGCTGGCCTTGAACTCCTGGCCTCAAATGACCCCAAGGAACTGGGATTACAGGTGGGAGCACCCAGTTCTCCTACTGATTCTTTAGATTTCACTTAAATATCACTTTACAAAGGGAGCCCTCTTTAATTAGGTTAGAGCTCCTAGCTATATTCAATTATTTAAAACACATTTGTTCTCTACCTCCTATGTGCTAGACCCCTCTGCATGGCACTGTGAATACTGTGGTAACTAAAAAGAAGAAAAAAACCAACTCGCCTTTGCCAGTTCCTTGGAGAATCATCTAGCACCCTGCAGGTCTCCTTTTAATTACTTATTAAATGTCTTTTCCCCTCCCCCACAACCGGAACAAGAAGTCAATGAGGGCAGGTACCATATCTATTTTGTTCACCATTTCATCTCCAGTATTAAGCGTAGTACTCATAGTACCTGGCACATAGTTGCTAGTCAATAAATAGTTAAACATTAAATAAATAACATCTCTAAAAGCTAATCAAAGCCAACAGCTTTAAATAAATCAGTCAGTCCCTTAAACACATAGAAAAATTAATTCTTCGAAAAGACACATTCTGGCTGGGCACAGTGGCTCACACTTGTAATCCCAGCACTTTGGGAGGCCAAAGCAGGTGGATCACTTGAGGTCAGGAGTTTGAGAGCAGCCTGGCCAACATGGTGAAACTCCATCTACTAAAAATACAAGAATCAGCTGGCATGGTAGTGTGCACCTGTAATCCCATATACTTGGGAGGCTGAGGCAGGAGAATTGCTTGAACCCAGGAGGTTGTAGTGAGCCAAGATTTCACCACTGCACTCCAACAACAGAGCGAGACTCACTCTCTCTTAAAAAAAAAAAAAAAGACACATTCCATTCCATTACATCATCAACGCTTTACTGGAGAAACTAGAAAATAAATGGAAGAACATCAGATATTTATCTTGTCCTTCCCATACCAACTATATTTTCAATAAAATACCTGTGGCAAAAGTTTTTCTTTACAGAATTCTATATAGTAAATGTGGACGAAATGGCAGAAAAAAAAAAAAAATCACCAGATTGCAACCTCTCTCTAATTAAATAATTTACTTAGCCAAAGACCTTCAATGGATGAACCAGTAGACTGAAAAATTAGATGCAAGATTGATAGAAAGTTTTACGGTAGTGGGACTAATGGCATTACTAACCGTGGAACAATCAGGCACTGGATGCCTCATGACGGAATGCAACACTCACCAAAAGAAAGCTGAACTTAAATGTAGATTCCAGAGTTAACTTCTAATTTAAAAACAAAACAAAACAAAACAAAAAAACATGGAAGACATAGGAACAAGTCAAATGACACCGTGAAAAAACAAATAATACAGAATGTCAGAGATTCTACAGGACAACTGACACAGATTTTTCATCAAGTTCAATGGCATGAGGTAGAAAGATAAAATAAGAGGGAATGGCCTAGGTCAGGGGTTCTCAACTGAGGGCAATTTTGTCCTAGGGGATATTTGGCAATATGTGGAAACATTTTTGGTTGTTGGACTGGGGGCTGCCACTGGCATCTAATGGGTAGAGGTTAGGAATGCTGCTAAACATCCTACAATGCTTAGGACAAGCCCCTCTACAACAAAGAATTCACCCTGTTCAAAGTGTCCACAGTGCTGAAGCTGAGAAACCCTGATCTATACCAAGAGTCTTTTCAGTATTGTTTGGATTTTGATTTGAACACACCACCAAAACATTGTTTGGGAAAAGACTGTGAGGACAGAAAACAACAATACTGTCGAGTCAATTTGGGGTGCTTTAACATGGATGGTATCAAAGAATTATTTTTAATTTCATTAGTATGATGAAACAATAAAGGAAATCTGAATTCATCAGGTATTAGATGATACCAAGAAACTTAACTTTGTTAGGTGTTAACAATGTGTTTTTCTAAGAAAAGGCCTTTTTTTTGTTTTTTGGTTTTTAGAGGTACTTGACTAAGAATGCAGGGATAAAATGACATAAGATCTAAGATTTGCTTTAAAATACTTCAGCAGCGACCAGGTATGGTGGTTCATGCCCGTAATCCCAGCACTTTGGGAGGTCAAGGCAGTGGACTGTTTGAGCTCAGGAGTTCAAGACCAGCCTGGGCAACATGGCAAAACCCCATCTCTACCCAAAAAAAAAAAAAAAAAAAAACTAACTGGACATGGTGGCATGCACCTATAGTCCCAGCTACCTGGGATGGCTTGAGCCTGGGGAGGCAGAGGTTGCACTGAACCGAGACTATGCCACTACACTCCAGCCTGGGTGACGGACAGAGCAAGACCCTGTCTCTGTCTCTCTTCATATTTTATACACACACACACACACACACACACACACACACACAAAATAAAAAAAAGGCCTAGGTAAAGTAAACATGGCAAAATCTTGATAGCTGTTGAATTTGAATGATGGGTATATTTGGGAAACCATACTGTTTTCTCTACTTTGTGTATTTTTTAAATCTTTCACCATAAGAAATTTTGAATGACACATTCCAAAAACAAAATATGAATCAAAGAATAATCAATATGTAGAAGGATTAACTGTCAGAGACTGACACTGGCATGAAGAAATATTTATCATCTAATAAACCAACATATCCTAAGTACAGAACACGACAACTCTCATATTTTATTCAACAAATCTTTGTGGAGAGCCTACAAATTGCAAGGCACTGTCCTAGGTGCTACAGGGATAAAAGATAACCAAGACAATTCCTGTCTGCAAGGGACTTAAAATCTGAAGAACCACCAAACCAGATGGGTAAGCGCAAGCAGAGCTTCCTGGAAACCTTGATATTTAAGATATGCCTTGAAAGCAATACAACTCAAAGGGGAAACAGAGGGTTGAAGAAGGGATGAATTCTAGAAAGAGGTAAAGCCACAGGCTTAAAGGCTCTTCTTGATCTGGCCTACGTGCACCACAAGCCTCATCTTCCACCACTCTTTCTCTCACCAAAGAATTGCAGGCACTGAACATTCAAGACACTGAGTTCATTACAGACAAGGGTACAAAGGCAGAAAAGTAAAAGCACTGTTCATGGTAAGGCCTGGTCTGACACACACACTCCTCCCAAAAAAAGTCAAAAATACAATAAATTTGTCTCTCTGTAAGGTCAGGAAAACAGTCTAGTAGAGAGGAGAATATAAATGTCCTATTTTGGCTCAGACTAACTCTAAGAATGTTTGACAACAAAAGCACTAAAGACTTCAGAGTGGGGTGGGAAAGGGGACAAATTCTGTGTATAATAGAGTGATCTGGGGAAAATAAACTGGTCAGACGGTACAAATTTGATGTAAGGCAACAGAATCACTATTCTACTACTTTACTGCGACATCCCAAGTGTTTTCTCCAGAAGATGTGCCAAGCATCATTTCTTAAAACAACTTGCTTCTGTTCCTAATTTCTAATGCCAAACCACCATAAAATTACAATACTGCATCCCTATCTTTTGGAAATGTTTTATAGGTAAATCTGAGTGTTTATATTACAAGATTCTCTTTTTTTCCTTATGAATCTAAAGTAAATTAGTAATTGCTAAAAGCGTCTACTTTAGGAAATCATAACAACTGATTTATTCTGCTTTCGTTTGACCTTCCCTCTCTCAAAGGAGAATTCATTTATTACTGATACCCTGTCAATCTTTGTCTGTTCTGTGGGACTCATCATTCCGAACAGAAATTTAGAAAATTTAGAAGAATAGCTGGCTCTCTCACGAAAAGATATCACAAAACATTTTTTTATGTTGGCCAAATTCCAAGGCTGTTTCTTTGGACTGAATGGTAATGACAATGAAATGCAGAAAATTGCTCATATCTTAAAACTATCTTTAAATACTATGAGAAAAGGATGTACGGGTCAATTCCTAAAATGGATCAACAGAACCCCAAAAGGGTCTAGGGATCCTTTGGGGGGTCTAGTAACTCACCTATGTATTGTATATGTACCTATAAGCATAATTAGACTGCTCTTGGTAAGACAAGATTTCCATCCCTCGTTTTCTGAAACCACTTAATTCAGGAACCTGACAGCTATCCCTGGCCCCTAAATAGTATTTTTAAAAGAAGCTAACTGGTCGTAAGGTTTACAAACATTCAAGTGTCAGCCCTTGGAGAAGCCGCTTTTTCATGCTTTCTCTCAAATGAAAATTTTAGTTTAAAATACAATTTAAAACAAGACCCTCTGCAACAAAATCTATTTGCAACAGCAACAAAATCTAAGAGGACGGTCAAATAAACCACTGAGAAGTAACTTTTGGGCCATGCCAGCACTGTATGTGATCTATACGCATCTACAAACGCTGTTTTTTTTTTTGTTTGTTTTGTTTTTGGTAATCCACATTTAGCTAATTAAAAAGCTGATCTGTCAGCCCTCTGACTCTTATGGAATCCTTTCGAGTGTTAGCTAGTCACTGTGTGTTGGAATTAGACTAAGCACTGGTTAAAGCCCTGAGGCCTGCTCACTCAGGGCCCTCTAGGTGAAAGATGCGGCTCAGGCACATGCTCTCTTACCTGTGGAGTCATCGTAGAGGGATCTGGCTCAGGGGCGGCTTGCTGCTGTTCAGCACTCTTGTTTTTGGCCCCACTCTCCAAAGGCTCTTGCTGGACAGTTGTCTTATTTCCAGAGGGGGCGGACGGTGGTGGTGGAGCTAGTAGTTGGGATTTAGAATGGCTCTGGGAGGGGCGGGAAGGAGATGCTTGAGAAGAGGGCAAGTAGGACTGGGAATGGCTCAAATAGGATTGCGAGGAAGAGGAGGAGGATGAATAAGAAGGGGTGGGCGGCAGGTAGGATTGGGAAGGTGGGGACTGGGAAGGGGACGGCTGAGCAGGAGGCAGGTAGGGCTGAGATGAGGACGGCGGGTAATAAGAGGGTGGCGGCTGAGGTGGGGGCATGTAAGACTGAGATGGGGGCATATAGGACCCAGGGGGCACAGGGGGAGATTCAGGAGGGGATTCCAGCTCCATTGGAACCAAACCAGGAGGCCCGTCTCGTTGATGGTGGAGCATCTGGTGTTTGTACTGCTGCTGCTTCTGATAGCTGAGGGCCGGCCCAGGTGGCGGGGGCATCGGTGGCGGCGGCGGCTGCCAGTCTCCGTAGCCGCCCCCCGGCATCACCGGCGGGGGCGGCAGGGGGGGCGGAGGAAGGTGGTGGGGCTGAAGCACGCACTGCATTTGCTTCTGATGCATCTGCTGCAGCTGCTGGAGCTGCGCCAAGTGCTGTTCGCGGAAGCTCATAAAGCCCGAGGAGGAGGGGGCCGCGGGAGTCGTCGAGCTCGAGTACCCCGGTCCCGGCGAGGCCTCAGGAAGCGCCACCGGCGGCGGCGGTGGGACCGGCGGCGGCGGATAGTGGCTGCTCCCGCCATACCGGCCCCAGTTCGGGTACATATCGAAAAAGAAGGCGCAGGGCTCGTCCTGGCGCCGTTACTCGTCGCAACCGACCTCCAGGAGCCGCGGCGACGACGGCGACAGCCGGAACTCGCGGCGCCTACAGGCCCCGGAGCGTGTAAACGGAGCGCGCCAGTGCGCCGGCGCTCCCGAGGTGGGCCCGCGACCGGGAAGGCGGGGACGCGACTTGGGCGACTACGCCTGCGCAGTAACCACCGAGACGAGAACAAAGGCGAGATAGAGCGGCCCTTTGCTTGGCGACTCGCGGTTGCCATCTTCCTTTGGGTCCAGATAATGTAGGCGCGAGTAGAATCTTCTCATAGAACTAAAAAACCATAGAGTCTCACAGCCGAAAGGGGTGGTAGAGATCCTATCGCTCCACGGGTTCATTTTTGAATGAAAAAAAAAAAAAAGGTTCCATTCACAATAGCAACAATCGCAACAACAACAACAAAAAACATAAAGCAACTAGGAAAAACTCTAATGAGAAAGATGTGGGACTTATATGTAGAAAACTACAGAGTCATAAAGAATCATATCTGAGTAGGATGAAATTAGACTTGAAATAATGGAGAGGCTTACCATGATCCTGAGTGAAAAGAAGAAAAATTGTAAAGATATCAGTTTCTCCCAAATTAAATGATAGACCTAACTCAGTTCTACCCAAAAATTCCACTGAGAACAAAGCTGTGAAGAATGGAAAGGTACTTTCAAGGTGAAGTGTAAGATTACACCAATTCCTTCAGACGTATAATAAATAACATTCGCAGGAATTGTAAAAGGGGAGAAACGGAATTTTTTAGACTATCTCAACACATATAAATCTTTGTCTCAGAGCTAAAGCAAAGAGAGCAAAAACTAGATACAAAGGTGGTCTAAAGACAACCTACAAGACAATCTTCCAAAAACTCTCAACGTAATACCAAACAAACTCTTTCTTTAGCTTGAGTGAATCACTAAAAAGCAAAGCTAATACACTGAATTCGTTGGGTGAGGTGGGAGGGGTAGAACTGTGAGAATATTAAGTGTGTCAGTGCATAACTTGAGTACAATGCAAAGATTTGACTTTTCTTCCATCTTAGCAACCCAGATCGTCACCTCTCTCAGGAGGTGAATGTGAGTGGAAAGTGGAGCAGCAAGGCACCCTTCAGAAGGAAGAGCTTCTGTTTTCAAATAGAAATTTAGTTATGTTGGCCGGGCGCGGTGGCTCAAGCCTGTAATCCCAGCACTTTGGGAGGCCGAGGCGGGTGGATCACGAGGTCAAGAGATCGAGACCATCCTGGTCAACATGGTGAAACCCTGTCTCTACCAAAAATACAAAAAATTAGCTGGGCATGGTGGTGCATGCCTGTAATCCCAGCTACTCAGGAGGCTGAGGCAGGAGAATTGCCTGAGCCCAGGAGGCGGAAGTTGCGGTGAGCCGAGATCGCGCCATTGCACTCCAGCCTGGGTAACGTGAGTGAAACTCCATCTCAAAAAAAAAAAAAAAAAAGAAATTTAGTTATGTTTCTTTTAACTTTTATTGAAGTATAACAAATATACAGAAGATTACGTGTCAAAAGACAAAATTACAACAAATTTAAAGATCTTTATTGGCTTTTACCTACTATTCTAGAATCAGGCAACATGGCATTCTGCAAAGCAGAACCAGTGATCCAATGAGCAGAACCAGCAGGATGATTTCATAGAAAAGAAAAGCAGAGGCTGGGTGCAGTAGCTCATGCCTGTAATCCCAACACTTTGGGAGGCTGAGGCGGGTGGATCACGAGGTCAGGAGATTTAGACCAGCCTGGCCAACATGGTGAAACCCTATCTCTGCTAAAAATACAAAAATTAGCCATGCGTGTAGTCCCAGCTCCTCGGGAGGCTGAGGCAGGAGAATTGCTTGAACCGGAGAGGTGGAGGTTGCAGTGAGCGGAGATTGCCCCACTGCACTATAGCTTGGGCGACCGAGCAAGACCCTGTCTCAAAAAAGAAAGAAAGAGGCCGGGCGCGGTGGCTCACGCCTGTAATCCCAGCACTTTGGGAGGCCGAGGCGGGTGGATCACGAGGTCAAGAAATCGAGACCATCCTGGTCAACATGGTGAAACCCCGTCTCTACTAAAAACTACAAAAACTTAGCTGGGCATGGTGGCACGTGTCTGTAATCCCAGCTACTCAGGAGGCTGAGGCAGGAGAATTGCCTGAACCCAGGAGGCGGAGGTTGCGGTGAGCCGAGATCGTGCCATTGCACTCCAGCCTGGGTAACAAGAGCGAAACTCTGTCTCAAAAAAAAAAAAAAGAGAGGAGGAAGGAAGGAAGGGAAGGAAGGAAAGCAGAAACAGAAAACTAAAAGTGGATTGGATGTTTCAAAGTTTCTTATAAGGTTAAAGCAGAGAGGACTTCTTTATCATGCTGGCTAAAAATGGACTATGCACAGTCGGCTGTTATTTCTCTTTCCTGGTTTCTTGAATGATCAGATAAAGATTTTAATTTTGGGCCGGGCGCGGTGGCTCACGCCTGTAATCTCAGCACTTTGGGCAGATTACGAGGTGAAGAGATCGAGACCATCCTGGCCAACATGGTGAAACCCCGTCTCTACTAAATGTACAAAAAATTAGTTGGGCATGGTGGCGTGCACCTGTAGTCCCAGCTACTCGGGAGGCTGAGGTAGGAGAATCACTTGAACCCGGGAGGCGGAGGTTACAGTGAACCAAGATCACGCCACTGCATTCCAGCCTGGTGCCTGGCGACGGAGCGAGACTCTGTCTCAAAAAAAAAAAGAGATTTTAATTTTGGCTTGGTGGTGTGAAACTGCAATACCAATAAACTCCATTTTGGTTTGGTGTGTTGGGCCTCATAGTAAATTTTCATAAACCAATCACACTTGTGAAATCAGCAAGTCTTGGGTTCCAGATTAGGGCCCTAACCCAGAAACCCCAGTTAGTTGTGTTTTTAGTATTTGGGGCTGACATTATCTTTTGAAAAATGTATAAATTTAGGCTGGCTTGGTGGCTCAAGCCTGTAACCCCAGCACTTTGGGAGGCTACTAAAAATACAAAAATTAGCTGGGCGTGCTGGTATGTGCCTGTAATCCCAGCTACTTGGGAGGCTGAGGCAGAAGAATTGCTTGAACCCAGGGGGCGGAGGTTGCAGTGAACCAAGGTCATGACACTGCACTCCAGCCTAGTAGACAGAGCAAGACCCCATCTCAAAAAATAAAACATATATATATTGGCCGGGCGTGGTGGCTCACGCCTGTAATCCAAGCACTTTGGAGGCCAAGGCGGGTGGATCACTTGAGGTTGGGAGTTCAAGACCAGCCTGACCAACATGGTGAAACCCCGTCTTAAAAAAAAATATATATATATATATATTTAATTCACTAGTAATAAACTAGAGGAAAAAATATGATCATCCTAGATACTTCTTAGGTTAGATACAGAAAAATAATTTAATAAGTTTCTAATTAAAATTTCATTTAAAAATTTCATGATGTTTAAAGAAACTTAGAAAACCAGAAATAAAGGGGAACTTCCTTACTGATGAGTATCAACTAAAAGACTATAGCAGATATCACCAATTTTTTTTTTTTTTTGGCTTTTGGGTTTATTTATTTATTTTTTTTTTTGAGATGGAGTCTTTCTCTGTCACCCAGGCTGGAGTGCAGTGGCATGATCTTGGCTCACTGCAACCTCTGCTTCCTAGGTTCAAGTGATTCTCATGCCTCAGCCTCTGAGTAGCTGGGACTCAAGCCTAGCTAATTTTTGTATTTTTAGGAGAGACCATGTTTCACCATGTTGGCCAGGCTGGTCTTGAACTCCTGGGCTCAAGTGATCCTCTCCCTTTGGCCTCTCAAAATGCTGGGTTACAGGTGGGAGCCGCTGCACCTGACTGACATCACATTTAATGGTAAAAAGTTGAAAGTTTTCCCACTAAGATCAAATACAGACATCCACTATCATCATTACATCTGTTAAGAGTTGAATATGTTGAAGTTCTAACACCCAGTACTACAGAATGTGACCTCATTGGAAATCAGATACTTACAGATGTAATTAGTTAAGATCAGATCATACTGGAGTAAAGTGGGCACCAAATCCAGTACTCTGGTGCTCTTAAAATAAGGTGGCCATGTGAAGACACGGAGACAGAGGGAGAACACCATGTGATGATGAAGGCAGAGACTGGGATTCTGGGATTATGCCTCAACTAGACAAGGCATAATCCTTAAATCTGATGTCGGTCAGGTACAGCGGCTCCCACCTGTAATCCCAGCACTTTGGGAGACCAAAGGGAAAGAATCACTTGAGCCCAGGAGCTCAAGACCAGCCTGGCCAACACGGTGAAACATGATCTCTCCTAAAAACCCAAGATTGACAGCAAACTACCAGAAGCTAAGAAGAAGTTGGAAAGCATTCCCCTACAGGTTTCAGAGGGAGCACGACCCTGCCAATATCATGATTTCAGACGTCTAGTCTCTAGAACTGTGAAGAATACATTTCTGTTGTTTTAAGGCACCAAGTTTGTGGTCATTTGTTACAGCAGCTTTAGGAAACTAATACAATATCTATCAGCATTGTAGTGCAGGCCCTACTGATACAATGAACCAAAAAAAAGAAAGAAAAAGGGAGGAAGGGGAAGAGAGAGGGAAGAAAGGGAAGAGGGAGGGAGGAAGGGGAAGGGGGCTGGAGGAAGGGGAAGAGGGAAGGAGGGTGGGAGGAAAGACGGAAGGGAGGGAGGGAGAGAGGGAAGGGAGGGTGGGAGGGAGGAAGGAAGGAAGGAAGGAAGGAAGTATTGGAGAGGAACAAACAAAATTGTCACTGTTTACTTATATTGCATAAATTAAAAATTTAAAATAATCTACAGATAAATTATGGGAATCAAGAGATTGCTGGGCATAAAGCCAATATACAAATAAACATATGTACATATATAATCTATACATAGAGATACCTTTCATAAAGAAAGTGAGAAACTACAGTGTACAAGGAAATATTTGTGACACATTTAACCTGCAAATGATTCATTTATGCAATGTAGAGAAATCCCACAAATCAATTAAAAAGACAACTTACAGGAGGAAAATGAACCCAAGTGGCAGAGGTTGCAGTGAGCTATAAGCTGAGATCACACAACAACCCTCCAGCCTGGGCAACAGAGTGAGTGAGACTCTGTCTTAAAAAAAAAAAAAA